AATAAAATTTACCTGCTGGCTTTGTTTCTTGTTGACTGTTATTCCTGTGTGAGGAATTCGAATACAATAAAAAATTCAGAACACACAGTTTATTAGTAAAACCAAATTTTAGGTATCTGTCACTGAATTGGAACTTTACAAACAACTCGAGTAAATAGCAAATTTAAGGAAAAATACTTAACATGCTAAAAAAAATGCACATAATCTTGCTCAACAGTGGTCAAAAACAGTTGTAATGAGATTAAAGGAATCAATATTGTAGACGCACAGTAGCTGTCAAAAGTCTATGAACCACAAGGAGCGAGCAAACAATGTGAAGATACTTTCAGCTAGTCAATTGGTCATATTTGACCATGCAATTAAATTCACAGATTACGTACCACATGCACTGATATTTGGCCAGTCAAAACTCTCGAATGCAAAAGTATTTTAATCTGGGCTTTTTAATCTGTTCCGTCACTTGCTTTGAATGTCGCATTTAAGTGTAGCACCACATGACAGCCTCATCAATTTTGAAACTATCAACACACAGTAAAAGAGATGATGGGTGAAGACTTGAAAAAATAGATCAGACTTACAATTGCCTTCGCTTGCAAAATACAACAAGGAAAATGAGAAAAATTCCAAACACAACTCCACATCCCACTGCAATGACAATCACAACACTGGTCTGAAAGGAATTATAATCACAATAAAAGGTCAATCGTTTTTGGTTAATTTGCTAAAGAAGTTTGTACTATAACCTGCAACCCTGGTAAATGCAATTTCTTGGAAGTACAGCTGTGAATATACCGTGAAATTCCAAGTATAAGCCCCTCCATCGCTAAGCCCCTTATATTTCAAATCCAAAAAAATATCCAACAATCGTTACAAAACACTTGAAAAAAAACAAAACAAAACAAAACATTCTACCCATACAATATTCAAACTTTATAAGGTTGACAAAGTTACTCGGTAAGGAAGGAGTACTGCCGCAGGTGTAAAATTCTTTGTCTTTTTAACATTGCCTTGTAACTTAATTATCATCAGATACAATGAATATATGAACTTCATATATTTTGAACTGCGGTTGTAGATATGTATGATGCACGATCCTCGCAGTAGAGAGCGCTATTTATGCAATAGCGAAAATCAGACCTGAAAAAAATCAGGCCTGTACGGGATTCGAACCACTGACCTCTGCGATACTAGTGCAGCGCTCTACCAATTGAGCTAACAAGCCAACTGGGAGCAGGCCGTTAAGTTGATTCGTAATAAACCCGTGATGATAAATCAGATACAATGAATATATGAAGTTCATATATTTTGAACTGCGGTATTAAATACGTATGATGCACGATCCTTCGCAGTAGATAGCGCTATTTATGCAATAGCGAAAATCAGACCTGAAAAAAATCAGGCCTGTACGGGATTCGAACCACTGACCTCTGCGATACTAGTGCAGCGCTCTACCAATTGAGCTAACAAGCCAACTGGGAGCAGGCCGTTAAGTTGATTCGTAATAAACCCGTGATGATAAATCAGATACAATGAATATATGAAGTTCATATATTTTGAACTGCGGTATTA